GATGTTGACAGCGATCTAGCATATACAGTACGATAAACAGTTTAAAGAACGTGCGTACTATTTCACAAGGATCCGAGACCAGGCACCTTTTTTATAGATCATACAGCAAACAATCCGATATAAGTGGACTGAGCGGAATCGTTGATGTCATACCTTCGTATCGATACAATCCGCCAACCCAGTAAATCACCGATTGGGTTAATTTTTACTATCCCCAAATCCACGATTAACAATGCACCAGAAAAAACTGGTTACATAGGTTCATAATATATTCTAGTATGTTCTGGGTTGCTGGTCTATTGCAATAATTCATATAGAATAGCAGAGTTAATCCCGCACTGCCTGGTTTCGTCTAATACGGATTTTTGGTGCAAGTACGTTATAATTAGTAAATTTATGTGTATTATTTCACACCATCCGCACGTTAACACCTCTGCTTTATTCAACATAAGGTACACTAACATTATTTTTGCAAACGTGACACAATCCGTGCCTAAATACATGGATGAGACAACTTGATTATCTTCCAGGCTGCGAACTCTAGGATCAATATGCTTCCATATTGAATGTTAACGTCACGCGGAGTGGACCTACCGAGAATGAGCAATATATTTGAGCGCTGAGGGAGAGCGTTGCTGAGTCAATCAATTACATAGGTGTAGAGCAACGCATCGCAAGGAGAAGGTCGCTGAGGATCTATATTGGTTACTCTTTATTTAGGGGGAACAGGATCAAGATTACGGGTCTCGGAAGAGGACAGAGTCAACTAGTTTCCTTAGTCTACCAGAGCGCGACCGGAATATATATATAATATATAAATTCATAATATAATTATATTATATTATCTTATACTTCTATATTATATCTTATATATCTATTTAGTAATATTTTGGCTTTCGATAGGAATTATATTTAGTTATTATCTTATTATTTGATATTATCATTATTTATACGTGGTAGACAAAGATGTTGTAGGACCTGAACTTATGATTTATCCCTCACATTATATGGCCAGGTATTTCTCCAATTCTTTCTCACGCATTCATCAAAGAGTCATTGTCATGGCCGCATACTTATGAAAGAAAAATGAACAAAAGAGTCACATCATATGTGAAATGTAAATTTTGGATCTGAAGACTTTGATAAAGCACAAATATGGCTTTCAAAAAACCAAAAACTTTTTTAAAAAATGAAAAGAATGTTCAATGTGAGATAAACTCTAATGCTTTTCATTATTATTATTATTTTGGAAAAAGGTCATGTTTTTTTATTAATTTATTTGAAAGTATAAAAATAAAAGTCATATATAGCACACATTTATTTTATTTATGCTTTTGTCATCATGAGTGAACAATTAAAGAATAGTGTATGTGGAAGAGTGATGGAAGGTATCTTTGGATGCCAAAATTTTGAATATAAAGAAATTGAAAAAAAAATATAAATTTTATCTTAATAATTGTAAATTTATAACTAACTAAAAAATGATTGATATTTTAATGTTCTTTTTAATCTTTCCTCCAATTCAAATAAAACTTAAGATAAACATAAATAAAATTTCTATAAAATATTTATGCATAATTCATTTATCATCATGTAAAATTTAATAAAAATCAATGAAAAATAAATTTTCATAAAGCCAACATAAATAAGTAGGTATGACACAAAAAATATCATATACGAATAATTTTCATATTTCATACAACTCTATGATCTATTATAAATTAATCTTTTACCGCCTCCATGAAATTATGGAAGAGAATGAGTATCAATAAATTAAGTTGATAAAAAACTTAAATTTATCACGTTGCACTTACCATTCAAAGGAGCGAGAACAAGCTTTTCCAATTTTATCTAAGGCTTTGTTTGGGACAGCTTTTATCAGCTTTTCAGTAAAAAATTTCTAATTCAAAAGATTTTTATACTAAAAAGCAGAATAAGAAAGTCGTACCAAATAAAACCTAAGAAAAAGTTCTTTTTCAAACAAAAATAAAACAAGAAGAAACACTACAAACATGAAGGAATCACAATTTTTTTTTCTTAAAAGCAACATCAAGTAATTAATTTGTTGATGTTGAATCATATGAGAGTCTAGAAATTTACATGCAGTGAACAGTGATGGTCCATATTCTAGACGAGTTGAAAATAGAGAAGATATTTTAAGAAAGCTCCCATTTTCAGCCTTTAATTTATAGGAAGACACTCCATTGACAAGAGAGGAACATTTTGGTCAGATTTTGTAGGCCGATTTCCTTTCAGTCAATATGATGAAGACGGGCCAAAGCCTAAATAGCCTGCCAAGCATCATCCAATATGACCGTTTTTTTTTTGTCAAATTTGAATGCCAATCAAAGTCTTGACTAATGAGAGTAGTGACATTTCTAAGGGAGATACATTTCATCTTCTTAATAAAACATTCCAAAATGAATGAGAAAAAAATATGTTAGAATATTCTAATAGGCTTTAAACTTTTAAAATATCCTCTAAAATTAATATGACATATGATAAGACTACATTAATTTTAACATAAAATCGTAAATATTGAAGTATTTCTGACGAAAAATATATCAGAATATTCTTACATAATTTTTACAAACTAAACACCGTTATTTGATTGAATTTATTTTCAAAAAAGAAATGTGTTTTTTTTAGGCGAGTGTGAGGGAATGTTGAAATGAAACCCTGAGCTCAATTTGAATGGAAGATAAAACTAATACTAATTGCTCTAAATGCAATAGAAAGATGAAAGAATTTCATAACATTAGAATTTCAAATGATTTTAAATAAAAAATTGAATAATTGATAAGATTATATTTTTATAATTTGATTTTAATTGATAAAATACAATGGATAAATTAAATTTTTAAAAATGCTTATATATAATGCCTAATTGTTCTTATATATCCCATCAATTATTAAATTCATACAAATTGATTAAACTTGATTCTCATATTTTATAATAGACACCACTATAAAAAAATGTGATCCACAATTTTAAAAGATTGTATAAAATGAAAAATAAAAAATTTATAAATAAGCATTCTAATCCTAAGAGAGATAATTAATTAATTACTCATTTGAATGAGTTTGGCTACTCATTTAAATTGACTCAATAGCTAGCTCGATTATCATGAAAGAAAAAAAAATACCTCAAAACAATTTTTATAATTAAATAAAAAATTAGAGAACAAAATAATAAAGAATATGAGACCTAATTTATAAATATATTTAATAACACAACTCTAATATATGTAAGTATATTTTGAATTAATATTTTTTAAATAAATTAAAGTTGTCTAAAATTTGACTGATTAATTGATCAAACTTAGCTCACAAATTATTTATTAAACTAAGCTCAAATCTTGGCTCAACTTACTTGCACCATATTCAATAATAGAAATACAAATTCAAAATTTATTCCTATCCAAAAGTTTTGTTTGGGACAACTTTCTTAATGCTTTCTAAAACAATGTTTTAGTTTTAAAAAAAATTGAATTAGAATTTTTTTAACAAAAAAAAAATTATTTTTAAAAAACAATGAGAAAGCTGTCCCAAACAAAGCCTTACTCTTTACTACTGCTTTATATTATCTTCAGTCTTTTGACTTAAAACTTATTTATAAAACTATATAATACTAATTTTTCTGTAATTATTTGCATTATTTTCAAGTCTTCTCATCCAACATTTTTAAATTCTATATAAGTCTTATATGCTCATTTTGGAAATCAAATATACAACACCAGTCACATATAATAGCATACATGTAATAATCTGTATACCACACATTGTAAAGGCTTATTTTTCACAACTACTTTCACAACCTTATTACCCTCTCTAAAATCTTATTTTCATTGCATTACTGCAGCTGATTTACAGAGTCTCCAAAATCTCTGTAAATCCTATTCTGCCAAACTGCAAAATTTCAGTTTATTCATAATGTTTGATTATTTTCCATCTGCAGACTTGCTGAGCTAATAATAAGGGAAGAATAGACCTTTTGCCCCACTTCAAGCCAATGCTCTTCTTCATCAGAACCATCTTCAACATCCCCTGAGACTGGACTTTCATATCTTAGTAGAATACCAAACAAAATCTTCCCCTGTCAGTATCAAGAGAAGGAATAAGTGAGCTGCATGAAAGTTCAAAGCTTTATATATAGATAACTATAATCTACTATGGCCATTTACTATGGCTGAAAGAATGACCTGCACTCGTCTATATGAAGCTAAAGTTGCTAGAGGCTCCTTGGATTTTTGAACCTCTCCACTTACTTGATCGATATTGATCATCTGGCAGCGGTTGCATCCACCTAATGACTGAAAAATAGAAGCAATAAGATTATTGACATCCAAATAATTTCATGGAGGGAAACCGATAAGTTTCTGTAAACTGATAAGTTGATGCAATGAAGTAGAGCTACCTTGGATTTTAAGATGCTAAGGTTTCGTTTGGGACGGCTTTCTTACTGTTTAAAATAGTATAAAAATTAAAATTTTGGTATTAGAAAATTGCTTTAAAAAAAATAAGAAAGTCATCCCAAATGAAACTTAAATCATAATGTTTTGCTTCACAAATCTTCTAGAAGGCAGTAGACACACCAAGGAAATATGTTGAAAGGTTCAATAAAACCTAGAATTTGGAAACCAATGTGTCACACCAACAACAAAGAAAATCAAGGCTGTATAAACTAACACCCACCAGCTAAACTCCAAATATTCCAATATATTCAACAAAGAATAAGGGGCACTCAAAACATTATTTCTTCATGTTCAAAACTGAAATCACTATAACCATGAGCCAACACCTGATGTGCTTAGAACTTGTTCCCTATTAAGGTTTTGTTTGGGGCAGCTTTATTATTGCTTTTTAAAACAGCTTTCTAATTTTAAAATTAAAATAATTATACTAGAAAGCTGTTTTAAGAAGCAGTAAGAAAGCCGTCTCAAACAAAGCCTATATAACATCTCTCTTGCCCATAACACCAAAAAAAGCACAAGGTATGTGGATTATTGATTTTGGAGCCTCTAATCATATCATGGGTGACCCCTCCCTCTTTCAAACTTTCAAAATCACAAAAAAAGAGAGACTTGTCTGTGAGAATTGCTGATAGAATAATGTTCAAAGATTTAAGAATAAGAATCATTGTAATCTCATATCTCTTGAGACTCCACTCTATCTTATTTCCCAATAAAGTAGGCTGCGACTTACAATCTGTCAACTATCTTGTGACTGTCATTGCATTACTAAATTTTCTTCGAACATTGTCTATTTCAAGGCTTGAATTTAGGGATGATGGTTAGTAATGTTGAAATATGCTCAATGTTCCACCTTTGTCAAGCCTAATACTAATTTATATCCTTAAGCTTCCAAGATCATATCAGCATACAAATAGATAATTGCACCTCATCCTACTTAAATTCTAATAAAGTGGATTCATGTTACATAACTATCATCTTAGTTTACATACTTCGATAGTTATTCTTATCTCTTGTTGACAATATCTCTAAAGATCTCTATTGTGAAGTGTGGCAATTCTCTAAACATAATCGTAAAAATTATCCCAATCTACCATATAAAAGCTCACATCATTTTTCTCTTATCCACAGGGAGTCTCTAGAGTAAGAAAATACTATACCTAGATAGTTCATCTCATTCATTGATGACCACGCTATAATCACATGATATTCTTGATGAAAGAAAAATCTTAGGCTGGAAAGAATTTTGTTAACTTAAATACAACAACCAAACCCAATACCAAAATCTCTCTACTCTACTGATTAAGTGTTTGGATGCTCATCATTTGTCAACATTATTTTCACGGTTGAAGAAAACTGGATCCCAAAGCTATCAAATTTATCATACCGGACACTCTTCCGATAGAAAGGGTATAAATGCTACTCACTCACCACTAAATAGTTCTACAACTTCATGGATGAAACTTCTGTTACAGTTCTCCCAGCCCAGGAGGGGCCAGTTCAGTTTTACAGGAGGCGGGCTAAGCCAACTCCTTAATGTTCCACCCAAGTATGGTGGGCCCTCCATTGGGTGGCAATTAGAAAGAGGAAGGGGCAGGTAATGCTTAAAGAAGTAAATTTGAAATTGGTTTAGGTTAGGAAGCTTTTTATTAGGAAGAATTGTATTTAAAGAACATGAGAGGCTAGGGTTAGGGCATGCATATTTTGAGTTATTCTTTTGGAGTTCCATGGCATCTTGGGCTCTTGACTCATCGTCTAGAGATTGGGAGAGAACAATCCTCTCGATTAGAGGATCAATTGTATCTTGTTTTGTGTTTGTTTTGTTTTGATTCCACTATTGCAATCTATCATTTTTGGGTTGATTTCACCCAGCTTTTTGTGTTATTTCCGCTGTTTTGACCAATTATTACTAGGTTTGCTTGAGAACTCAAGTATTTCCTCTTGGATTACTTGCGAACTCAAGTATTTCCTATCAACTTCCTTAAGCAAAACCGGTTTCTCCCAAATTCATTATTTAGGTGATATTACACAAGGAATATTTGTAATCATATTCCTAAAGTTCCTATCATTAATCCACAAATTATTAAATATTATGGGTATACTCAAAGCTATACCTCATTTTTAAAGAAATTTTTCAAAGGAAATTCGACTATCATAACCTTATGTACAATTACATATACTTAAATGTAATTTAGTTAGCAATCTCATATATACAGATTATATTTTACTTAGATGTGATTTAAATAATTAGTTAGCAATCATCAAACTTACTAGCGATAAACTTTGAAATAAAAAAATTTGGGAAACCTCAAGTATTACCAAGGGATGAAGGTTGCTATAACTCATAAAGGTATCACTATCACTTAGCAAAAATATATTCTTGATTTCTATAAAGATATTGGACTGCATAGATGAAAACCTATATGCTACCATAACCTAATGTCAAGCTAAGGATAAAAAAAAAAGTAGCGCTCTCGTTGACAAAGGTTAATTTTTAGAGACTTATTGACAGACTCATCTACATCACTCATAATATGTCCAATATTTCTTTTTCTACTAGCGCGGTCAGTTAATTCATGAACCACCACATTAAAGAGCACATGAATTTAATGATGAGAATTCTTAATATCTAAAAATGACCACAAAAAAGGATTATTCTGAAACTATATATATATTGAGGTTTTCATCAAGACAGATTAGGTAGGTAGGGGACTAGTGGGCTAACCATAGTTCGTAGATCTACCTCAAACAAAGTCGATAATGATCCCATTGTTGATGATATCTGAACTAGAACACAAGCCAAGCACAGGACGTTGACACCAAAAGGCACTGACGACCAAGAAAGAATTATCAAAAGGAAACACAGGAGCAAGTGCAGTGGCTAGCTGCAGTCAGTGACAAATGAGGTTGATGCTAGAAACATGCCAAAAAGGGAAGAAGGAAGAGAATGAGGGCGAGCGAGCAAGACGGTTTGAGCAAGCACAAGCATGTGCAAGAATGCATGGGCTAGCAATCTACGGGAACCTGAGAGCAGATGATCACCAGGATGCATGTGAGGGTCTGTTGATGGATAAGGATCCACCTAGGAGGAACACCCATGAGGAGAGTGCAAACTGGAGGAGGGACATCAGCATTTATTAGGTTTTATAGCTAAGGGAAGAGATTAGGAAAAATAGGTAAAGAGAAGATAATGTAAGGATAGAAGAACAGGAAAAAGAGAAAACCTACAATTAAGAGAAAGAATAAGAGGATTTTAAATTATCTCCTTAGATTACAACCTAAGAAACCATTTTATGGATCAAGAGCATGAATAAAACAACCCCAATGGATCATATTGATAACTAGCATAAAATTCAACATAAACCACTTCTACACTCTCCCTTCTCATTCTTAGTGCAACTATTCACACAACCTATCACAATTGTTCATTGTAGACCTTGACTCACCACACCCATTATTGCTCACCTTAGTGGCTTCCTACACTCATCCCGTCATCACATCTTGTTAGTGCTTTCTTGCCCAATCGTCGTAACATGCTATTTGTTGTGCTTATTTATGCTCATCATGGCCTCTCACACTCGCCTCTCGTGCTCACTCCCTCACCACAGCTCGCTTTCCACTCCCCGCAGCTTGTATGATCAATTAATCTACACTTTACACATTGGGATATATTCTCGACAAACCAATACAAGTAGATGTTGCTACCCTTGGACTCATCCATCCATCTTTGGCCTACATTATGTTCATAATTGATGCTTTTGTCCATTTGGCTAGGAAGATTAAGATTGGCACACCTAGATGTGATTATTAACAAAAAGTAAAATTGGAAGACTTGCCCTCATATTGCTAGTCCAGCAACATATTTCGTCATAAATAGGCTTCCAGCTTCAAAACTATTTGGGATTATGAAACTCACCTTACAAGGGCCCTATTGTTCACAATAGACCAAGCTGATCCTTCCATCTTACAGGAAGTTACTACCCAAATCCTGGGCCCTATGAAATTTTCTATGCATTGGAAGCGCCATCTCTATTGTTCCCATCCCTTCTAGTAATGTTGCTGGTTTATTGGATGTCAATTTATTCCATGCTCCCATTGCTTTGGCGCCTTCAGCTGATACTTCTAGAGCCTTATCTGGGAAAGTTATCTTTCAGCCCATTGAGGAACCCTCAATTTGTCCTATTTGAATTCCTTCAATTGTGACATTACAACTATGTTCTCTAATCCTACACATGAATGTTTTGATAATATTGATGATTCAACTTCCGTTTAGTCTCAAGGTTCTTTCAAAAGTTTATTATGACTTAGTAAATAAAATGTTCCAGCTTGTGTTTTCTCGCTAAGACACAAATAGGAAAAGATTTTTCTTCATACTCCTCGGTTTACTCGATTTCAGGATAGACATAATAACTCTCAAAGTGAATTTGGCATTCTTGATTGAGCAGGTTGCTGCTACTCCTTTTGGACTAAATTATTCCCTTGCCCATATATTTTGTAAATTTACTTTTGTATAGGTAATTCTTTGCATCTACTTCTTCATGTAAATTTGTTCTCTAATTAATAATGAAACTTTATTACTTAAAAAAAGCAACCCTAATAAAAGCACGTTCTTATTTCATGATTAGCTAAACTCATAAGAGAGATGCAAATGAATAAAGAAAATGCAATAACATGATATGGTTAGATGTAATGCATCAGAAAGATCGAATAATTCAATTTAGAAAATGATAAAAAGGGTTTTAAAAATATACACTGAACTGTGCCTTCCCAATATGAACAGTTTCCCAATTATCTTCAACATATGCTTCTGCTCCAGATATAACCAGATTGGGGCGGAATCTCATAGAATCCACAATTTGTGGCCGTCCATGTTCTGTAACACATTCCTGAGAATCTGCAAGAAAAAATAAGATTAGAATTGAGATATTTGCAGAATAAGCTGTTCAAGTCCACATAGCTAATGTATCCAACATTAATAACATAAAAGTTTAATCATTGAACCCTTTGAAACTCAGAGAATAAATAATCAAATAAAAAGGGGAAAAATAAGAAAAGTCTGACAGTAATTGAATGCTCCATTACATAGATTTTTTTTTTTTAAACGAATTTTATGCAATTTTGTCCATTCAACTGAAATTGGTCAAATTTCATAATTTTAAGCAATTTTGGCCATTAAATGACACTGTTCTGTTTATGAGCAGCTACACTCCTAATACAGCTCAACAAGACTTGATGAAAGTGCCTATCGGTTCACCAAATCCTGAAATCAAAACTCAAATGTCTTTTCAGGCTGTACGCAATGTTGTGAAAATCAGACTGGACAACAAACCGGAAAGAGAGATTCACGGTTCAACCAGAGTTGAACTGGATGATGTAATAAATAATAATATTATTAAAAATTAATAAGATTAACATAACATATGACAATCTAACCTTAAGCTTAAACATAAACCCATCATGTCGTACATATCAAATATTCAAACTAAGAATAAGATGGAGGTTTAAAATCATACTTTACAAACAATATAATTCATATTTAATATAAAATTAGTTTACATATATATTTTAAATTTAATATAAATAATTTCTAATTTATGTTAAATGTTTAGATATAATTTAAACATATGGAAAGTATACAAATTTTATATTATAAAATTATATCTATAAATTCATGTTATATAAAAAAGATAAATTTTTATATTATATAATTAAATAAAATAAAAAATAATAGATATAAACTAAATATTATTCGAATTAATAAATTTTAATTAAAAAATATGTAGAAATATGCAGTGTATATATAGTAAACTTAAGAACTTAACCTTGATTTCTTAGTTCCATACCACCTAAACACTATATGTTAGTATTGTTTTTGTCTGTATAAACTTGTTTGATTCACATGGAAAAAGAAGTCACATGATAAGTTGGGTCATGTGATAAAACATAGTTGATAAAGCATTGTTGATGCTTATTTAACTAAAATATATAAAATTTAAATTAATTTATTAGGAGAAATATTTAATAATAAATTATTACATTTAATTAAATGCAAGCCAAACCAGTTCAAATTTAGCTAGGCTTAAACCGCCCGGTTTTGCAAAATTGATGCCGATTCTCCGATTCACCGGTTCAACTGCTAGTTCAAGTGGTTCTTGGGCGATTCAATGCTATCCTGATTTTATACATAAACCAAACTGGCCGACTGGCCTGTTCTCGATTCAATTGACCGATCCAGTTCGGTTTTAATAACCTTGGTTGTACATATATATCATATATTATTTTCAAGCCTAAAGACAAAATGCAAAACAAGTATGCACGTGAAAGGGTTGGATTAGCTCGAGTGACAGATAATTAGAGAGAGTCGCTTTAGACGGTTTTAACATATAAAACATCAGCCTTTCGATAACCTAGTTATGAGAGTAGATATATTAGATTTGGCCTATGTTAAAAAAGATAGAGGTGGAACTAAAAAGACTTAGCTAGAAAATATTAGAAATGTAATAACCAAGCCTAGTCGTTCAAGTGAATCGGCCTATTACTGTAGCAAAAAGAGGAACAGTGAGCAGAACCGCGGCTCGAGTGGCCGCATGCATGCGTTCTGCTGTATGAGTTTGATCATTGTTTTAAGTGGATAATCACGTGCTAGAGTGAAAACTAACGACTCCTCATGAGTAATATCTCTATTTCACTCACTCCAGTAACGGAAAAATGCGTGAGAAGGTTTCAGATGAGAGAAACTAATAGAGAATAAGATAAAGGAGAAGGAATGTATTTTTTTTTCCCTTTCATTTTTGTTAAATTGTGAAAGTTTCCTCGATACAAACTTAAGAAAGGAGTAAATGCTTCATTTGAGTGCAACGGAGAAACTTTAAAGAGAAAGGGGAAGAAATTTGAGAGAAAGGAAGGAAATTGGAAGAATGTCATCGAGGTATTCTGATCAAATTATTTTTTATTTAAGATTAATTGATTCTCAATAATTTTAGAAATTAATCGTAGATCGATGTAAATTCATGTGTAAGATAGTTTTATAAAATTTGAGAAGTTGATGTAGTAAAAAAAAAGAGAGAATTTGGAGTTGAAGTTCTTCCACTTTCTGATGGTAGAAGAAAGGGTAAGTGAGAAAGTTGTTGATTTTTTTATAGAAGAGAAATTTATATGATTTCATTCCTCTCATTTAAAGAAATGATTTTGACAGGCAAAAGTAACCTATTGCACGAAGGAGAAATCCTGAAGCAAATAAGAGATTCAGGTAAATTTTTTATATATGTTACTTAAGTGTTTAGACGAGATTAATGATAACTAGAGATAAAGAAATAATACTAGTTTATGTAATTGTGTATGACATTTTAGATTTTTTTGCACTAAAGGAAGGCTAATTCAAGGAAGAAAGAATTTCAAAAGAATTTAAGCAAGAGAATAATTAAAATGGGTGATTCCAATTGTACTATAATAATTCCAAATTCCTTTTATGTTATTTTAATTTCTTGTACTTTATTGAAATTATTGCATATTATAGCATTATGTTGACTGAATGGTTACTGTATATAATTAACTAAGAAGAATAAACGAAATGAAAATGAAAATGTGAAATATTCGCTATATGACACTTATAAAATATTGTAACATGCCTAAACTACTTGATATAGTTAAATGTTAAATACAAAACCAATTGACTGAATTACTGGGTTTATGGTGTAATATAAATATATAATGTATGTATATATACAAATAAAATGTCCTTACAAAAAATGAAATAAACTAAATCATAATATATATGAAAATGAATATGAAAGTATCAAAATAAGGAAAAGGTGCATGCATGCAAATACAGGAGTTCACCCTCTTATGGTACTGGCTAGAGATGCAATGTAATAGAGCACGTTAAATGCAAATGAAAATAGTTCTACATTTATTGGTACAAATTTTTAAATGGTGCTCATGTATTAAATGAAAAAAATAAAAAAATAAAAATTGGAAAATAAAAAAGTGAATAAATGTTATTTGAAAAGAAATATGCTATTTGATAAATATATAAAAAGAATTTATATCATATGAATATATATATATATATATATATATATACTGCAAAAGAAAGTCAAATGAATATGAGTATTTTATAAAATTGCAAGAAGGGAGAGATATGATCTTCCTGTTGCAAGTGAATCTAACTTCTTTTCATTCATTTCTCCATCATTTTATACGAACAAAAAAACAATTGTTTTAGCTACGACGTAGGCGATGTAGGCAATGTGTTGTTCAGTTTGATTTTTATTGTGGTCGTTTTTATAGATATATATTTTATATCCGAACAACTTGTAATGAAAGAATATCCAGAAGTGTTTTTAGATGATCTGTCAGGATTACCACCAGAAAGATGATGCATGTAAAAATTTGGAAAAAAACCCCAAATTTTTGCAAGCAAAAACACACACTTCCTAGGATAAAGAAAATACACGAAATTCTCAAAAATAGACACCTTTTTTTACCATAAAAAGACACTTACAACAAAGAACGCTTACAAACGACACATTAAACGCTTTAAACATAACAATGACGCTTACAAACTTATAACCTTGAAACACCTAAAAATGTCTTTCATCTGTTGCTTTGAGAAGAATGATACTGATGGAATGGAACTTGCGGAGAGACGAAAGAGGCAAGGAGCCAAGACGAAAGAGGAGAAGCTCGCAAGCTTTCCCAAGAAATAGAAGAAGAAGTGGAACAAGCTCTCAAGCTTTTCCAAAAAGCCTCAGATTTTCATATCCAAAAATCACATTATATATCTCTCAAAAAACCTCACATGACACTGACACACATGACAAATAACTTGACACCAAAACCTAGGATATACTAACTTTGCTCTAATACCAAATTGATGCATGCAAAAATTAGGAGAAAGCCTAATTTTTTCAAGCAAAAAGAAAAACTTCCTAGACGGAAAATACACCAAATTCTTATCTAGGAATTTACTTTACCTTGAGCATTGTAAATGAACCCGCTGTCGACTTCAGGATTGGCCATTTAATGGATACAACCAAGACTCACTCGACAAACCGGGATTTTCTAATCTATAGCCTCTTACAGAAATGCTTAATTCACTTATAGACCGTTAAAAAAGATTCAAGAAGCTTTGGGTACCATATTGAGTTTCAGAACTGCATTTCACGAACATAAAGATGGGCAATCAGAAAGAACAATTCAAACTTTAGAAGATTCACTTCGATTATGTGTATAAAATTTTGATGGAAATTGGGAGATCATTTACCTTTAATTGAATTTGCATAAAATAACAATTTTCAATCCAGCATAGGAATGACACCGTATGAAGCTCTCTATGAAAGGAAGTGCACAACAACTTTATGTTAGGCAGAAATAGATGAAAAGAAAATACTTGGTACTAAACTAGTGAAAGATGCTGTTAATAAGATTAGATTGATCAAAGAGATTAAAAGCAATGCAGGATAGGCAGTGAAAATATCATGATGCAAAGCAGAGACCAATAGAATTTGAAGTTTGTGAATTTATTTTTAATAAAGTCAGTCTAATGAAAGGTGTGCAACATTTTGAAAAAACAAGGAAATTGAGCCCACGTTTGTTGTCCTTTTGAAATTATTGAGAGGATTAAAATATGGTCTACATATTAGATCTATCAGTGCATATGCAGGGAATACACAATGTTTTTCATATACATGTGCTTCAAAAATATATATCAGATGAGTCAAAGAGAAGCCACTGAAATATATTAAGGAACCTGAAAGGATACCGAAATATGATGTGAAATAATTGAGGAATCGGGAGATGCCATTTATAAAGATTTTATAGAAGCATGAACCTAAAACAGATGCCACCTGGGAGAAAAAATCATAAATGAGAGTTCAATATTCACATCTATTTCTCTAATATATGCTGTTAAATTTCGAGGAAGAATTTTTTTAAGAGGGGAGATTGTAATAACCGAGCTTGGCCAGTTAAAGTGAATCGGCCTATTATTGTAGCATAAAGCAGAACAACGAGCAGAACCGCGACTCGAGTGGCCGAGTGCGTGTATGCGTTATCTTGGATGAGTTGAATCACTGTTTTAAGTGGATAATCACGTGCTTGAGTGAAACTAACAACTCTTCATGAGTAATATCTCCATTTCACTCACTCCTGTAAGGGAAAAACGCATGAGAAAGTTTCAGACGAGAAAAAATCAATAGAGAGGAAATGAGAATGTAATTTTTTTTTTTTTCAATTTTATTAAATTGTGAAAGATTCCTCCGTGATATAAACTTAAGAAAGGAGTAAATGTTTCATTTGAGTGCAACATAAGAAACTTTAAAGAGAAAGAGGAAAAAATTTGAGAGAAGAAATGGAAAGAAATTTGAAAAATATTATCGAGGTATTCTGATTAAATTATTTTTTATTTAAGATTAATTAATTCTCAATAATTTTAGAAATTTACGGTAGATCGATGTAATTTTATGTGTAAGATAGTTTTATAACTTCAACTGGCTAAGATAGACCAAGCATATCATTGATGTGCAATTTCCATAAATTTTTTTGAGAACTATTATGCCAAAAACTAGTGCATTTCCTATTGTATAGAAAGTTACTCTGCTTAACCAAAATAATACAAAAAGCTCAGTATTTCCTAGATGTTTTCCAAAATGGATTGATATAAGAGCTTATTTGTTGCTTGTAGTTAGAAAAAAATTTGAAAGATAGAGATATTTATTAAATCCATCATTAAAGTTGATGTATTTGTATACAAATACTTTTTCAAATGTGCAAAACTATCAACTCTCCTTCAAATGTGATGATTTCATTTTTACAAACAAAACGAGTAAAAATAAAATCATCATATTTTAAAACATGTTTCCCATCTACAATCAAACAGATGAGCCTGAACATATTTTAGCTCCTTTTCTCCTATAGTATGGAAAGATAAGTGAAATCATTGAATTCATCAATAACTCATGCAACGCTGATAAATATAGATGATTTAATAAACACAAAAAAATATGTGAAATCAGAGAGAAACCAACATACTCAATCTTAACCGATCATTGAGATCATTAAGGCTCCCTTCAGATATCAGTAAAAACTGCGCTTCATTAGTAAAGTTTAGTTGACTTTGCACGTCTCTGCCTAGTCTATTGTCAGCCTTGCGCACACAAGAACGATGCATTGAACTTGCACACCTCACGAAGGTACAGGGAAGTGAAATGGCTCGAGCGAACCACTCGTTAACTTCATTTCCATACATATACACTAAATATCTTGTAGACAGAAAAAAAAAGCATATTAAGTTCAACTCATAGTTGAATTGACAAATAGAAGCTTGATGCAAACCTGCAATTATGTTATATAATGAAGAATTCAAAGGATGCCATAATATGAATACTTGAAAGATTAGGAGAAAGCTTATGGAAACATATATTATACTTATATACATCATATTCATAGAATTGGACGAGATTTTTTTTTTTTTTTCACGACCAAAGTTCATTGAGAATTAAGCTTGACATATAAAATTGAACCAGAGAGATTTTCCTTATTAGTAATGATTATTGTTTTTCCGTAAAAGATAATTGATTTATTGATGGCAAAAAACGAAACACTCGAGACATAAAAAAACAGATGATAATAGATGGTTGCAAACCCGGGAAGAAATGTTGAGTATTGATGGTAGATCAACAATTAAATTTATATCAAAATTCATGCAAAAATCAACCCCAAATAATTGGAGAAATGCTACTGAGGATGATGATAACATTAGAATGAGCATGATTAGCAGAACAGGCAATAGCAACAACATTTGACTGATCAATAGTGAATTAAATAATAGCGGTGGACGTAGTAGCAATGACAGTTGTAGTTGAAAAAGTCACTAATTGCAATAGTAAGTTAGTAACCACAGGAAACAAAATCTTTCCCAAACAAGGGGAAGGCTACTTCGATTAACCACTCCCTAGACTCAACAATGGTTGCAGCCTAACGCACTAGATAAATACTTTAAATAGTAGTGACAGTAGTAGAGCAGTAGTAAAAACTAAAGTAGAAATAGCACTAGTAGGGGATTAGCCATTGGAGTAGTAGTAGCAGAGAGATGTAACAGAAAGGATGACCCCTGATTTACTTTACTCTAGAAAAGTAAAAATTTATTTTTTGCTTTTAATGATTTAAATAACAGATTAGATAATAAGAGGATGAAAATTGAATATATAAGCCAACCAAACAAAGAGATATGAAAAGTAAATATTTAATTCAAAAGAATTTAAGAATGAAAATTAAAAAGTGTTTTTATTAGAAGAGAATATTTAACAAATGTAGATGAGATATTTCAATAAGCTTTTCAATGAAGATTGTGAGAACACGATTGACTTCAGTGACCTTAGCGCCCTAAATGATAATAGAGATTTTTATTTTTATCATCGTATTAGTAAAATCGAAGTTATAGAGGTCTTAAAGAAAATGAAGTGTGGAAAAGCAGTTGGACCTGATTATATTCTAATAGAGGTGTAAAAATGCTTAGGAGATGAAGCAATTTTTGGCTTGCAAAACTTTTCAATATTATTTTAAAGACTAAAAAAATGTCATGTGAGTGAAGAAGAAGTGTGTTGATTCCTATTTTTAAGAATAAAGATAATGCACAAGAGTGTGTGAATTATAAAGGGATTGAGTTTGTTGCATATTGAAAAATTCATGGGGGGGGGGGGGTATACTTTAGCGTCCTAGCTTTGTATGAAGATCCAGCAAACAAACAGATAAGAGAGAGATGTACATCATTTAGAAGAAACATCAAAATTTTAACATGGCAAACCCTGAAAAAGAGGGAAAATCACGGGGACTGACCCAGTTTGAATGAACCCACTAGTGTTTGTAATTGATTACAAAAGACAACCTTAGGGGAAAAAGTTAGCTCAAATAACAAATATACATCATATAAAGAATGTTACATAGTTGGAGAATGACATGATAGTTGTTCTCAATAGAATGTTGTTATGTTCATTTGGTTGAAAGGTCCATAGTTAGATGATGATGATGATTAGAAGTACCGAAGTTGGCATGTGACGGAGGTTGGAAGGACCGTAGTCGGATGATAGAAATCGAAAGAAACGTAGTTGGCGGGCGATAGTGGTCGGAAGGACCGTAGTTGGGCGACAGTGGTCAGAAGAATCGTAGTCGGGTGACGGTGGTTGAAAGGACCGTAGTCAAGCGACAGTTGTTGGAAGGACCATCAATGTCTGTCAGGTGGAGCTTTGACGACGATGGTCCGAAAGAGACACAACAGCTACGGCATGGTGGCGCAGACTTGATGGCGGTGATGGCAAGATGGAGCTCCAAGATTCCTCGTGCCTCAAAGCTTCTCTCTTCTTCCTCTTCCCCCCTCCTTCCGTTTTTCTCTTCCTCTCTCCATTTAAGAATGAGGGGTCTATTCATAATTTTTTGAGAGTGCATGCCCCATAAATATGAAGAAGATCGAGGGCATGTTGGGAGTGTTCCATCAGATGGCTCATAGTGATCCACTTGATCATGGAGCATTTATCAAGTGCCCAAATGATGTCAGAATTAGGCGATCTTGGTCTTGTTCAATTCATCTCATCGAGACGCTCGTTTCTACTATAAGCATGTCATATTTGGATATCATTTGATCATCTAATTAGTATTTTGAAACTTCCAAATAGACATTGATCCTTTGATTTGGAACCATTTGGATTCGGATTGGATCGAATTTGGTGTCATTGAATTCGTCTCTTTGAGATGTTCAATTCAACTATGAGCTTGCTGAAATCGGAGTTCGGATGATCCTGAATTTAATTTTGAAATTTTCTAATTCATATTTGCATCGAGATTTGTGCCCGATCCGAGCGATTTTTTTTGACGTATCAAAGTTAGTGTGTAATACTTTAAAACTATGGGAGAGAGTGTTGACCCGCCTACTGTATCAACAAAAAACGAAATAAAAAAAATCTCTCGTACTTGTTTAGCGCCGACTCACACGATTGCAAAAATCCCATAAATCTCGCACTCTGCACGTCGACGTCGCCTCAAGCACGACCTCACATGATCCTTACATCGTTAAAATGAGAAGAAACGAGGCATTAAAAAAAGGAGGGAAAAAGAGAAGGCCCCTCCCTTGTCTCGTGCCACGAGCCTTCACCGTCAGTCCGCCAGTCTTCAAGGTATAAATTTCTAACTTAAACCTTGTCCTCGACGCGCTTGACGCGCCGGTGGCCCCTTATATGCGCTCTTGTAGCATGGTGGGGGGAAATCCGATGCGACAGGTGCGATGAGGCGGGTAAGCCCTATACACGCTCTTGTAGTGTGGTGAAGACAGTTCTCGACCTCGACATCAGCACCGCCGACGACTGCTATGCAAGGTATAATGTTTCAAATTCCATTTTCAATGTTTGTACCGAACCAGAGAACCATCTATACGCACTCTTGTAGCACGGTAGGAGGAAGCCCGGTACGACGCATACGGCGAGGTGGGTAAACCCTATACACACTCTTGTAGCATGGTGGGGAAGTTACTGGTGTTCTCGTACGGGTACTGTTGAAGGCCCCATACGCGCTCTTGTAGCGTGGTGGGATGAAAAGATGTACGGCCGCAGTGTCTAAGGATACCTACCATACACGCTCGAGTAGCGTGGTGGGAAGGCCCAGCTCCCCTACATTTCCCCTAAACGGGGGATATGCCGGGGTGCTGCCGAAATTTTTACTGAAGTGTACAAAGCTTGAGCAATATGAAAATATCATTTGAGCAGCAATACGAAGGACAACAGAGGACTCGTACTTGAACTGAAAGCATAGAACTTGGACTCAAATGAACAATGGACTTGAGGACTTGTACCTGAACATAAATCAAATAAATCCAATACGAACTTAAACAAAATACATTAAAAACTTGGAAATCAACATAACTATGAGGACTCAGACTTGAACTTGCAAGAACAGCAAGGGACATGTGAATTTGAACACCGGGACTTGATCCGAATCAAGCATAGTGGATATGAACTCGGATTTGAATTATAATTAGATAATCAAATTTAATGAATGCATAATTACCTTAATATCAATCATTAGGTTTGATTATGCAAGTGGAGATCAATGAATAAATAAAGGACATTCATTAAAATCCCAAATAGAAATGAATTGTTGGTTCACTCACAAGCAACAATACAAGCTCTCAATGATATCACAAAGGCCATTGTATTCAATCCCGTAGTCAACAACCCTTCAATGGCAGTCAGATACATCACCCTCTTGCAAATGTAGATGTATAATATACAGCAAATGCAAGTGCCCACGATCTACCATGGAAGATCCTCAAACATAAGTGATATGCAAGGAGACTCATTGGTTCCCCACATGTATTGAAATCAGTAAAAAGGAACGAACATAATGACTCATCAATAGTCATAGCAATGATGCACAACAAATGATGCTACTTACAAGTTTGCCTGTAGATTGAGATGGCAATGCCGGCACTTGATAGTGGAGGACCCGCCCTACAAGCAAGTACAAACATCAACCCACCTGAGATTGGTGAAAGGTGGGTACAATGTAGGCAACAATGGTTCTTCTACGAAAATCTCTAGGAGGTCGTAGTGGATACAATGGGTCCCTGCAAATGAACACGAGCTACTTGTGGATAATAATAATGGGTATATCGTAAATACAACGAACCCTTGGGGACACAAGTACAGATGTCACCTACGACAACGGTGATAAGATCTATGAGTACGTTAGGTATGAAGGCAACTCGATATACGAAAAAGGACACCCCCTGGCAGAAGGGAAGGGATGCTTGAACAAATTAGAACTAAACTTCCTGGTGTTTCAAAATTTCTTCTTGAACCTATACTTAAGAAGAAAACAGTGCTTGCATCTCCAAATATCAGAAACAACAAGTCTACTATACTAAAGTTTTAGGCAGTGGCCACGGATTTCAAGAGAGACCTCCCCGGTGAACGAGAAAGGGGGAGTCAACATCAAGATAGTGGGATGTCTCGTGACATCCAGATACTGCCACCGGCTCCGCAACACTCGTATCAGCGGACAGAAGGCGTGTATAAGCTCTCAAATGAAATGTTTGTACTCAAATGGCGATTACTTGCACAACTACAATTATTTCAGTATACCCCTGCATATGCACCATAATTTGTATACACATAGGTACAGAAAAAGGGGTAAATACAATCTCGACCTGCATGGGCCCAAGCGAGAGTGTTATTGGTACACACGTGATGCCTAGGGATGCTGTGCGGGTTGATAAGTGAATTCAAATTCGAACTCGGTCCTCCTATACGGATCAATAGGGCTCGACAAGGTTCGAACCAACAAACAAGTATACGGTCACGACGCCAGGTATATTTGTTTTATTGCATTCATATTAGGTCGTCAATACCTATAACAATGAAAATTCACTAATCAAGGCACAAAGCCTACGAAGCCCAATCCTCCTAAGCAGGTAAATAGGAGTAGACAGGGCTCAAACCATCGGATAAATATATGATCACGAGATCAACCGGAATATTTATTTCATACATTCATATTAGGCCGTCAATGCCCTTAATAAAGAAAATACACAAACAAAAGGCACAAAACCTACGAGAAACCCGATCCTCGGTCAACAGCTCGGCCGAGTCGATAATGTTCAATCAACAAATAGAAATGACCCCACACACCTCGATGATGGGCGCGTTAAATGCAAATCTCAACCAGAGGGGTTTATTCCAAATAATTCAAAATGCCCACAAAATCCAAAAATCCCAAAATCCAAAAATATTTAAAATTGAAATCAATCATCCAACCACTTGAAGCAAAAATCATCCACCCTCCGCAACGGTTTGCCGGGGTGGACAAATTAAAATTTACTTCAGCTCACATAGAGCTAAATGCCTAGTCGAAAATATCACTAGGATTCATTCTCAAACAATCTCCTGTCATTAAGGATGTGGTAGGTGTCGTCTGACCGGCGATTTTGCCGCCAAATGGCACCGCAGGATAAACGGTTATGACCTGGGGCCCTCTGAACCAAGTGGTTTTGCCACCAAATGGCACCACGAAATACTGGTTATGGTCATAACCAATACGCTCCTTAGTGGCATCAAATCCTTGAGATATGAATCAATAGGATATGATCGATAGAGAACAAAGCCCTCTGTTAGCTAAGGTGGATTCAAATTTGTCCCCTTAGACAAAAATTCAACTCAGGTTTACAAGGTCTCCTTGGACCAAGCAACCCATTGCTGTTGATAATGATCCTTCTGTCAGGTTGGGTCGACTACCTCCTCTGACTAAGTAGACCAGGGACCACGATGGCCCAGGACGATAGAACCATGAGATCTTAATCGGGTCTATCATCCATTCCCCCACCATCCGCTTTAAGGGCAAGATGGTGAAATTTTCATTTTAAATATCAAATCTTCTAACCTTCAAATTTTCAAACTTCCAAAATACAAACCCATGCTGCTGTTATATGTCAGATAGCACGTATACTCCACGTATCTGATTGACGACTAGCCTTAATCGAAAGTTCTCTCTCGTTATCGGGAGGGGTAATTAACTATAGGGGCTTGTGCCTATAGGAAACCAGAACTCATATCATAAAGTCCTCGCAAAATGAGGGCAAAATCTCTGGGTAATTTCTTATCTACAAACTCATCTGCCTTCCAAAATTTACCCCGAAACTTATTCCGTTAAAACTCCCTCGCCGAAGATAAAAGAAAAATACAGCGTGCGGAGGCCGGGGCCGAATTTTCGGAGCCCACAGAGAGTTACTAAGCATATGTTACGACGTGATACTATTATTTCTCAAAATCAATTTGGATTCATGCTGGGGAGGTCTACTATGGAAGCTATACATTTATTTAGAGGTTTGATGGATAAGTATAGAGAGAATAAAGAGGATATACATATAATATGTATTGATTTAGAGAAAACATATGGTAAAGTTCCACGAGAAATGCTCCGGAGAGTTCTAGAAAAGAAAGGAGTTAATAATGTTTATATTCAAGTCATTAAAGAAATGTACGTAGGAGTTGTTACTTGAGTTCAAACACAAGGTGTTTTGACTAAGTATTTTCTAATTTTGGTTGGATTACATCAAGTATCAACTTTAAGCCCATATCTTTTTGCTTTAGTAATGGATACTCTTATTAAACATTTATAAGAGGAAGTTCCGTGATGTATGATTTTGCTGATGATATTCTTCTTGTTGATAACTAGAGAGGGAGTTGAAAGAAACTTGAATTATAAAGGTCAACCGTAGAGTCTAAAGGTTTTCAATTGAGTCGATTTAAAATTGAATATATGGAGTATAATTTTAGTAGTAATAGATCTAATAAGGGGATTGTGACTTTGGGCAATCAAGTCATTAATAAGAGTACACATTATAGATATCTTGGGTTTATTATTCAAAGTGATGGTCAAAAATGGGAATATTATTATTATAATTAAAGTTGAACGGTTGAAGTAGAGTAATGACGGGGTCTTTTGTGTGATAGAAAAATAATCCTAAAATTTAAAGGAAAATGTTATAAGATGATGGTAGACCTGCAATGATTTATGATATAGAATGTTGATCATTAAAAAGAGAAGCATAAAGTTAAGAGTTGTAGAGACAAGGATGCTCAGGTGGATGAGTGGCTTCGCTCTTAGAGACAGAATGCAAAACAAGAATGTACGTGAGAAGGTTGGAGTAGCTCAAATGGCAGAAAAGATTATAGAGCTGCCTTAGATGGTTCGGATACATAAAAGTCAACATTCCAATGACCCAATTAAGAGTAGATGTATTGGATTTAGTTTATGTTAAAAAAGATAAAGGTAGACCTAAAAAGACTTGCCTAGAAAATATTAGAAATGACTTTTTTTATTAAATTTAAATGAGAATTTAACTCTTAACATAATACAATGGAAAGAAAAAAAATTCATGTAGTCAGCCCCACATAGTGAGATCAAGCTGTGACGTTGTTGTTGCAGAAAAGTATATTGAGCAATTGGAGTTCAAATTTAAATGAGAATGTTATGTTGCCAAGATACTAGGTCCCAATTGAAAGAGAACCCTAGGCTTAAATTAGGAAGATAAAAATAGTTCACCTTGACATAGATCACCATTAGGCTAGAAAAAGTACTTAAGAAAAAAATCCTTCTACTATTAGATTCAAGGAGGGTTGCTTAAACAAAATATCTTCAGCTTCAATTTGACCAGGGCAAAGAATACATCTAAGTTCTGATTTTGGCTTGAAAAAAAAAGTGAATTTAAAACAATAACCGTCATAAGTTTGCAAAATAAAGTAGCCCTTGAAAATGTTAGAAATAGGCACCTTTCTCCATACAAATTCATCTCCTCCAAAAAACTAGACGACAAATCCTTTTGAAGAGAAATTTGAAGTGCGTCTTTGCAAAATTGTGATTCTAAATGAAGACTCTCTTGTTCTAGGTCGACAAATGTGTGAATATGACACAACCTAGGGACCTGCATGTGCACAAAAAATTGATTCCCCAGGTTAATAATTTGAACAGAATTTATGCAAATCTTTAAAAAGAAAACAAAAAGATTTTCTAGCATGCTCCTTTAGCTATTCAACTAAATTGTACTACCAACGGGGTCTAGAAACTTCCAATGATACAGAATTTACAGCCTAAAATAGTCATTAAGATTTTCTCAAGCAACCAGTTCATTGATAGGATTTTCCTCCATGTTCGTTCTCTTATGAAAATATGCTTCTGCCACGATGCATGAAACTAGTCGTTAAGTTCTCTGTCCAGTGAAATAGGAAATAACTGATTCCAACAATTTTGAAAAAAAAAACTAAAATCATTGTGATATTCATTCCACCCAACTAGAGATCTAAGAAAATACCACACAAACAGTGGACAGGATCCTGTAGGTAACGAGAGTGGATTCTGAAAAACAGGCACTTTTATGGAGTTCTTATGTTGTGTCATACACGACATGCAAGAACTCCAGGACATCTAAATGGCATTTTGCGCGTCTGTTTTATTAACTTTTAGGAAATAACATTTCTTGTACACTTTTTGAACACTTTAACATTTCTTAGACAGCTATTGGACACAACTTGGCACGTTTAAAATATTTGAAGGTAATATGTAATTCATATTATGAGAACCAAGACTTACATTTAAAAGTCCGGTGACATAATAAGAACTATAGTTTAAAATGATATTTAATCATCACGGAAGAGATTCTTTACTTATAATAATTAAACTAATTTATTAAATGTCATGTACCTGTTTGTGTCCAATTTTTTTCAAGAATTGTTGTCCCGTTTTGTGTTCCATATCCATGCATCATAGATTCTAGGCAAAAAGAACATAGCTTTGGTTATGGAAATTTACAAAATAAAACCTTTTGCACATTTTGAAAAGTTGGGGTACATTCCTTTTTTTATTTTTTAAGGGTTGGGGGAAGGGGAGGGAGGAGGGGGCGGGGGTGGGGAGGTTACTAAGAAGTTGTTCACACTGCAATAGTACAAATCATCTAGAACAGTCGGATCACTGGATCCATAGTGTAATTATATATGCTTAATACAAGATATATAATTTGAATAGTAACATAAGCGCCAACAAATGTACAATTAAGGATTAACCCTTCTTATGCTTCCATAAGGTTTATTAGAAAAAAAAAAAATCAATCCGACGAATTATATTAATTCTCCTTATTTTTTCATGCCACAGCATGGTGAATTATTATTAGCTAATACAAAACAGCAGAAAAGATTGTACACGACTGAAAAGGTTGATAGCAACAGAACAAACCTTTTTTTGCGTCAAAATTTCACCATTTGATCCTCTGAGAAGCCATTCACGATCATATTTTAATCCTGCTCAAGCATCAGCATGCCTCCTAAAATTAGCAATCAAATTGGTCCTTGTAACTGAACTTTTTGTTCCAACGTAGAAGAATGGAAAGCATGTCCAAGCAAAATGAAGAAGAATTCTCTCTTGTGCTTTGACAATTAAAAATAGCCCAAATTCATATGAACTCCCAAATATTATGGTTACCCACAGGATGCAAGTGAAAGTAGGTTTTTGTGAGTGCCCAAATTCACAAGAAATACAGATGAATAAATTAGCTATTAAAATTTTATATGGCATTTAAGGATATTATCCTTCAGTGAAAACATGCTTAAACAAAGAAGAGAATTATACCAGAGTTGACTAGAGGCCAGCATGAAACACTGAATCCACCACAAGATTTTATGGGATAGATCGTGATGGATTTTAAACGAACACCACCTTCCAATTGTCTCCATCTTACATCTGTAATTCAGGAATATAAATATTATCTGAGATAAAAAAGAAAGAATTCATATTCACGAACTGAATCTAAAATGACTTGACTGTCCAATGAAAACACATTTCAGTATCAAATGAGTACGAATAACCCATGCAGAGTCTCGCCCATTCATCCATATCTTTAGAATGAGTAAGGGGAAAAAAATGCGCAGGCCAATATTTCTTTTCTGGTGAATCATGCTTATCATGATCGGAGCCTTCTTTAATTAAACAATTAACATAAATCTAAGTAGAATAGATTCATTTGCAATACGGTATCTCTTCATTGCAAGAAAATATTTTCATAATTATGGTTTTTTGAGAAACGACAGATACAGAACGCCACTTATTTTTCATAACAGTCTTAGTTTAATCAGTTCTCCAGAAAAGGAACTGAGAAATGATTTTTCCTCACTTTGCAGGGCAGAATATGGCTCAAGCAAGTTTTAAAAAATTGGGAAAAAAGAACAGTAAATGTTGCTTAAACAGCCAGAAAATTGAATATTAACAGTTTAACACAATTTCATACTTATATATATATGTTCTTATAAAGGCACTAGTTGTTCATAGATTGCTTGTGCTTATTATTCTTCTTTAGCCGAGTTCCATGCATCAAACCAGCAAGGCGTGCAAAAATAGAAGCAGCTTAACGTCCAAGGTGCTAACTGACAGATAAATGCATTAAGGAAAACAGATTTTACCAGTAAAGGCATTTGCCTTTGCTTCAGATGGATATAGAACTTTCAACATAGTCTTTGTAATAAAAGAAGTCATCAAGAAGGTCAGAAATTTCTGCAAAAGTTAGAACAAAAAATCTTTGAGAGAAAATCATATATGAATGAAATTGTAAACAATGTTCAATCAATCAAAGCCAAAATAAATGAAAAGCAAAAAAGAGTAGCATAAACAATTAACCAAGTGATGCAAGTTCATATAAATATTAAGTTATAGCAACTATAACTATAGATTAATAAAAAAAGTTGAAATCAAATAACTCTTAAGAAGATGCATAAAACCTAAATTTTTAGGTCCAAATGGAATCAGATTTGCAAAATAATGAAAGATATGTAGTAGTTTAGCAAACAAATTGCTTTAATAAAAACTTGAAGGCTAAGAGGATGATAAATGATTCAAGAAGTATTTTGTTACAAGTATTATAGAATAAAGATGTTCATAATTAATAAACTCAAACTCACAAGTTATACAGCAAAGGTATTGGAACATAACTTATGAAAAAACTCACCAGTACTGTATAATCAACTTAATAATATCAAGAAGATCTACTACAAAAGTAATATTTATGTTAAGTAAATTATAATATAAATATATAAAGGACAGAGAGAATTTCTTCTTATGATTTTTATTTATCTTAGCATAATATATGATCAAATATCACTGTGGGCTCCAAAAATTCGGCCCCGGCCTCCACTCGCTTTTCTTATTCGGCGAGAGAGTTTTAACTGACTAAGTTCCGAGGTAAATTTTGGAAGGCAGATGGGTTTGTAGATAAGACACTACCCAGAGATTTCGCCCTCATTTTGTGAGGACTTTATGATCTGAGTTCTGGTTTCCTATAGGCGCAAGCCCCTAAAGTTAATTACCCCTCCCTATGTGAGTGCCAAAGGAAAGAAGATTGTTGTAAAGGCATATTAAAGTTATCAAAGATGTCTATAATGGAGTCTTACAAATAACTGTTCATGATGATATTATCACCAATTTTTTTATTACGTATTGAACTGAAACTCGAGCAGAAGCTACAGTGAATGAGCCAATGGCACCCTCAAAAGTGTCAAGATGTACTTAAAAGAAGTCTACTTACCTCAGCGTCCTCAAATGTGGACATATAACCAAAGGAGATCCTAACAGCACCCGTTGGTTTTCCATGTAACACGTCAGCATCATCCCAACAAACATGTCCATCCTAAGAATTATAAGAAGAAGACAAGAAAGAATGTAGCAACTAAATATGATAGCTAATGTATATAAAGTTTAACCACACTAATCATTGAAACTAGCAATCCTTCTAAAGTAGTTGACAGCATCAAGATATGGTAAAAAAATAAGTAATTAAAAAGCCTAACTATTCATCAAACAAATCTTAAGAACATACCTCAAGGTTGGAAAGAAGATCTAAATGAGATAAACCCAGGAACTTAGCGCACGCACCAGGGTTGCAAAAACAGCCTGTCTACAGCAAACAGACATTTTAAACATAAATTTAGAAGAAGAAAAGTAATAGAAAAAAAACTATTGGAGGCTTGTTAAATTATGTATTGTAGCAAAATAAACCTCTGAACTCATATGCATTTCACAGTTAATTTTCAACTTTCTGGCCATTTCATCATTCTGCAATGATCCAGCATTCATATTTGCCTCATGCAATTGCCAGATCCTAACTTCTACTACAAAAAAAAAAAATTTCACTCCAATTTCATCCACCGAAAGTAAAGGAAGAACCAAAAAAGTACCATGCGCCATGTGGAACTGATAGATTATATGCATATGCCATCATCACCATCATCATTAGCTTTATCCCAACTATTTGAAGTCAAATCTAAAAACATCAGTTCTATCATCACTCATCGATCATCAGTCTTATACCAACTATTTGTCAAAATTAGAATCCTCGTCGTCTATCATCATCATTAAGTCTCATCTAGGCTTGTAAGTAAGCCAAAGCCGGCTCGTGAGCCTGCTCAACTAGACTCGTTATGACTTCGAAGAGTCGGCTTATCGAGCTCAAGCTTAATATTCAGCTCTTTTTTTAAAAACGAGCTCGAGTTTTGAGCTCAGCCTGGCTCGACTCAAGGTGTCGAGCTTACTCGAGTTATAATTATATTATATCTCTCTC